CGTAGTTGTCCCCCGGGCCACAGGCGAAGACCGCGATGTAGCCGTTGGAGTAGCCCACCGTGAGCAGCCAGCCCTGGTGCGGGATGACCTGGGGGGCATCCCAGCCCGCCCCGTCCCCGGTCGTCCGGGCGACCACCTGAAGGCAGGTCACCTCGAGCGGGAGCTTGGCCTCGGCCGGGATCAGCGTGTGCAGGAGAGCGCCACTGCGCACCGAGAAGACCCGAACCGCCTCCAAGGAGGGGACGAAGAGGACCGATGTCGTGTCGAGGGGGGCGTGGCCACGGCCCCCATGGCGCGTGTGGCCTCGTGGCTGGATCGTGGACGCGTAGTTGGGTCGAACTACAGCGGAGTCCATCGTCAGAGCGGCATTACTGGCCATGGACCCGCCCTGTGGACCAACCACATAGCGCAGATAGGTCTTTTCGACCATTTTATTTTCTTTACCTAATATACCTATAAATATGTGGTGTCCTTTTATGTATAGAGGTTCACTTTTTTGATGCTGGTTGTACTAGGTTGTTTTTAAATTTTCTTAAAAAAAAAAATGGAAATGAGATCCATTTGAAGGTTCGCATGTCGTTGCCAAAGATGAAGCACTACCATACCTTGCACGTGAAAATGTAAGCACCATCCGTACCATTAATTGTACCCATCAAATTGCCATCCGGAGGAGCGTTTTAAAACTCAAGTTTTGTTTTTGCCAATCTATACAACGCAGACAATACAGGGAGGAAGTCTCACATCAGCCCCCCTAACCGGTTCTTTAACATCCAGAGGCCTTTTTCGTACATAATTCCGCGGACCCGCGCGCTCGTCTGCCGAGAGGTTACTTCGAATTCAAAACGGACCTTTCGGCGAAAATATTCATTGTCAGTGATCACTAGATCCTTCTTGCCCTTCTTAAGAAGCTGACGGTAAAGGGAACATGCTTGGTTTGTTGTGGGCTCCACTGGAGGGAGATAGCGGCTGGCTTCAAGCCGCTTGCGCTCGAGGCTGGCACGCTTTAAGTTAGCGCGTGTGAAGTCTGGTGATCCTTCTTTCCACCACCGAGAGCCGCCTCTCAAAGGTCTACAAAAACATTGTAGCATGCCTCTATTATTACTTCCACGTGATGCTTTTATATAAGTTCAAAGACTTCTCTAAGATATTGCAAGTACATTGGTTCTTCAGCTTTGATTTTTTTTGTCAGTACGGTTAAGGGAATAGGTTTATGTTATGAAATTAAATGTATACACATACCGGAAAAAAGAGGATGTAGAGTTAGCTTGCACTCGATGCACCGCAGCATTTAGAGAATATTTTAATGATAATTTGCTTGACTTCTCAACGCATTAATCACCTGAGCATTACAAAAGGGGATAAAAGAACAAAAATGCTATGAAAAATTGAGGCGATTATTAGAATTTCGCTGAGCAAGAACCTCACTCCAGCGTTCTTCATAACTCATCTTCTTAGCACTCCTAGACAGTGTATTCGATTCCGTCATAATATCTTTTGCAACGCGGTCGTACAGCACTACATTAACGGAGGCCGAAAGGTTAACACTACCATAGGTTGGTATAAACACCACCTCCTTGCATTGGTCGAGAAAGTATTGCGAAATGGAGCTGTCCTCGGCACCAAAGAGGTAGAACACTAGCGGCACCGTAGGGGGTCCGCCAAGTTGAGCGGCTTCTGGAGTTTGTTGTGATGACTGAATTGAGGACTCGTTGGCATCCGCGGAGACCTGAGGCGCCTCTCCATCTTGCCATAATGCATGTGGGCACCCTCCGTGAGTGCCCGAGGCGAGTGAAAATGGATGCACGAAGTCTTGCAGCGGGATCGCCCCCTTTGCGAGCTCTATTCCCACCATCGCTGTCTCGGTCCCTGATGGTTTCTCCTTCAGGGCATCAAGCAATATCTGCAAGGAGGGGAGCTGCAGCTGGGGGATAAAAGCGGCCGCCCCTTGCGTATCCGTTCCCGTTATTAAAGGGGCCACAGACCCCCACGGAGATTTTGTCGGGGGTCGCCCATCCTGCTTCTGCTGCGCCGCTGCCGCCTTCGCCAGGCGCTCACCGGTGAAGATGAAGCCCGCGGCGGCGCTATATTGGGAGCGCCGCCCCCCCCTTCCCGCCGGGGGGTTCATCGGATCCAGAAAACACCCCATCGCGCGCAGAATCCCGCCTGCGTTCGCCGGAGTCTTGGGATTCTCGACCACTACGAAAACCCGCGGGAGGGCGGGCCCGCGTGACCATTCCCTCCCCACCGAGGCAGCCTCCTGAAGAACTTTCTCGAGCCCCCACTTCGCGGCCTTCCATTGTGATCCCACATCGAGCCCGAGATTGTGTGGATTGCCCGCTTTCGAGCTGCAGGAAAGGGGGCCTGCGGTGCACCGCAGGGGGGCCTCCCCTTCCCCCTCCAGGTGGTGAACCAACATGAGGGCGACGGGGCGCCCGCTGACGGGATCCAACGGCAGCCGAAGCCCCATTCCGCAGCGTTTACAGCGCCATATGGAACGCGCATCGAGCGCCGCCATCCGCTCGCGTTTTCGTTTTTTACGTTCAAGTCGACGTATCCCACCGTCGGCCGTCTTGTTTGGGCCGGGTTGGAGGGTTGAGGCCTCCTCCCCTGCTGTGGATCCCCACGGCGGACTCGTCGTAGGAGGGGGATGGCCATTTTCGGTCTGCGAGCTGAGGTTCGCTAACACAATGGTGTCCCCAACGTCGTGGACTTCTTCCAGGGAAAAGAACGTTTTCGCCCACGTCGTTTTGGTGCCCCATTTTTTTTCACCTGCGGCGGCATTTGTCAACTACGTTGGGAATGCGCAAAAAGAATGGTATAAAGTCGACAGGGAAAGAAAGGAGAGGGTTATCACAAAAGGAATCCGTACTCATAACTCCGTCATCAGGGAAAGGGCATGTCTGATATTTTTTAAAATTAAACTTTAGATTCAGAAGCAGATATCGCCCATAGAACTGAAGACATGTTCTAAGGGTGTATTTCAACCAGAGTATTCCTGTACAGTATAGGTTGCATACGCAACCGACATCACACTCTGCCTCTCTCTCCTGAGACGTTTCTTCCTTTCAGAGGTTGCGCCCTTGCACATAAGGTTTAGGGATAGGAATGTTTTGCATTGACCCCCGGCCCAGATCGTTGAGTTCTCTCACAGTTCTTTTCTTGTGCGTTATGTGGCCCTTACGAGACTTTTGCGTCTTCTGCTTCTTGTGCAGGATAGTGCCCATCTTATCGGCTTCATCGTCATCTTCCACATGATCCGTGTTGAGTCCGTCGATATTGTCTTCATCATCGTCTAAAAAGGAGTCCAAAAAAACTTTCTCATTCTTAGTCAACCGCCGCAGCTGATAGGACTTTGTGATATCAAGTAAAAGGTCAGGGGCCATGAGATAGCGATCCAACTCCAGAGTCCGAAGCGCCTCGGCTTGCTCGTGCTCGATAGTTTCCTCAATTTCGTGGTAGGTCGTCGGGCGGCGCCGCGGCGTAGAGCCGTCGGGACCGTCTTTAGCTTTTTCCCCCTCCAACTCGACGTAAGTGAAGCAAATTTGGCTGCGGTAGTCGTCAGGGTCGAGCTGGAGGTCCTCCACGAGGTAATGTGCCAAAGCGGTGGAGGTGAGCTCTAGGGTGGGTTTGCCGTATATCAGGCCCGTTCGCCGCCCGAAGGGAACGCGAAGGTGACGAATAAAGGGCGAGGTGACGTGTGGGATGGCTGAGTCCTCGTCGGTTGCCTCCCACTCTTGAGGATCCGCAGCCTCTTCCACCTTATTGAGTGCCGGATGCTGGTCTTCGCCCTCGTCCGATTCCTCTTTTTCCAAACCCGGCGCTTCAATACCCGCGTACTCAGCCACCTGGTGAATGAACTCGATGATCTCCTCGTGGAGCCAGTTCTTCGGCAGGTTGTGCAGTTGAACGGCGATCGTTCGTGGGTGGGAATCCGACCCCGAGGAGCTCCGCACAACGAACGATTGCGAGAAATAGGTCCTTATCGAACTCCTAAGGGCTTTCGCACATGCTGTTGAAGGCGCCGGGACTCGTAAGATGCGGCGGATTCGCGTCTTCACCCCATTCCGCTGTCTGAGGCTTCGTATTAGATCTTTCGATGAGGTGAAATAATCAGCCTCTATATTTGGCAGGATACGCGATGGAGATGTCGTCTGGTGTGGGATGGCTTCCGCGATGGAAGATGGCGGATGGTGGGGGTCCAAAGGCCTTGCAAGGAGAGCTTGCCATGAGCACTGAGAGACCAATCCCCCCCAACTCAAATGCGACCATAGGCTGCACAGCATAGAGTAATTTTCTAAGCCGCAATCTAAATGGAGCTACGCTATGTAAATATGAAGATGGGCGCGGGGGCCAAACTGAGAAGGGCAGTGGAAATGATAGTGACAATGAAAAGGGATGAGTTAGACTTCATGATTTAACAAGCAGGCTCATCACACTGGAGAGATTTTGCTTCGTTTTTTTGTTAAAGGTCTATACTCAGTCCCGTTTGACTTCTAATATGCCATATATATCACACTTGAAACCACTTTCCCTTTTTAGTTGTTGTCGTTATTACAATTGGATAATGAACAACAATATGAGCAGGGTAAACAACCTGTACATCTAGAGTAACACAAAGCATGCAAGGTTGGGTACATCTCCCAACGCAGGGACCTCTTCATGCATGTAGAATATTGTATCATACATTTTTTTCGCCAGATTATATTTTATTGAGTCAATAGATGTTTTTTTCCTTTAAAAAAAAAAAGGAATTTGTGGCCCATATTTATGATCAATATTTGTGTTTAAAAAAAAATACTACTGATACAATTCAGAAACGTTTCTTTTCCAAGTCGAATATTTCATTTGATATTAATCCATTTATGTCTGTGCCGGAATCGTCTACTTCCTACAGTTATACTACCGCCTCTTATTTTTTACATGTCATAAAAATAATTGCATTATCCCTAAAAATACGTGCAATGCGGACGGCCTTTCCATGGGTTAACTTTTTCGAACTACACTTTAGACCGATCGAAGTGCATGTTTTCATCCTCAAATGAAAACTCACCATCACTAGAGTCATTTTCATTCATGAATACATTGACCGCTACATTTTTCTACACATTAGGGATCATTGATTTCAGTTCTAAGATTCAGTTTTTCGTCGTATGCTGAACCTGTGTGGAAGAACGGTTTCTACTCCAGAATTTAAAGGCTCGATGGGCAAACCTAAACATGTCTTCCACTAGCAGGCTTCCGCTTTGAGAGAATATTTGAGGTGGTTGTGGTGGGAAATAAACATGGACCAAACCTACATCTTATTGTTGGCGTTTGGTTTAGATATTGCACTGAATACCGGGGGGAGAGGCCTTTGAAGTGCGTATCATGCTCGGGAAGCATGAAAATATAACCATATATATAAATAAGTGTTAATTGGTGTCGTAAGCAGACGATAAATCTATTTTTCTGGAGACTCGGTTCTACACCACGTTGTGTGCGCTGTCGATCATAACACAGGAAGCTAATAACATTTTCAATGAATAAGTCAGAATGGCATAGTGCCTGGATTCCAAAAAGGATTCTAATTCGTTTTGTTACATCTAAATTTGTCTAAAATGATTAATCAATGCTTATTCAACAATGACAAAAACAAGGAGAACCATAATAGAAATAAATAATAATGAGGGATCATATTTATAGGAGATGAATAAAATTGAAAAATTTCATTTGTCGACAATGTCTGTTACTATGAGACTATTTCAAATACTTTATTTAGACGTCCATTCAAACATACTTTTTTTTCTTCCAAAATAAAGATTGGACAGAATATTTATTGGTGAGGGATACTGTATATCTGACAGACCATTTTTATAAGATTTATTTTATCCCTCATAATGCCTAGTGCAAGTAAAAAATAATATGTGCATATGTTAATCCATTTTACTTTACTTTTAGTTCCTTTTTTTCATCCCTGCCTCCCATTGCGTTTGGAGAACGCTTTGGTACCAAAACATAAGTCTTTACAAACAACTCCGTGAAGAGGCAGAAATTACAAATGTAAATCACGAGCTGAACACGGTTCTGGGCCAAAGACACACCCGGGCATGCCTCTGGCTTAAAATTTCCAAGGTACTTCTGATATAACGCGTAGAGTGAAGTGCAGAGCCCCAAAACCATCTGAAGGATCTGCAGAAGGGTGATATAGACAGCGAAGGGCCTCACGAGGTTCTTGAACCCTGCCTCCGTGAGGGTAAAGTAGAAGTACATGATGGTGTGCATGGTGTAGTTCAGGGCTACGGCCACAATGAAGATGCTGGAACCTTCTTGATAGGCAAACCAAACGAATAAATAAGTCGTGACGTGGTGGAACCACGACAAGAACGGCAGGTTGCGTTTCCCTGTCATGATTAAGAAAAAGGTATCCATGAACTCGGGGACCTTCGAGATCACGAACAATGCCATCGCAAAACCTACTTTTGTGGTATAGAAGTGCTCTGGATGCGACTTGCACAGGGTACCATACAGCCCGTACTGCCTGAAGTCGCTGATTAACGCCGGCATCACGCGGAGGGTGCCATATAATGAAAAAACACTGACGAGCAAATTCCACACCATCCAGAACTTCTTAATAATGTTTACTCGACAGGGTGTGAGTACTATGATCCTGTTGATCAGATGAGGTCCCATGAAGACGAAGGCGAGGTAGATTGTTGCAATGTAAATACAAATGTCTGTGTTCTTAAAAAGCCATTCTTTAAATTTGTACCCATTGAAATGGTCTTTGCCATATTGATCAATAAACTGCATAAGCTCGAGGGTAATGTATAGTTAATAAAAATATACACTACTTGAGTTTATATAATTTGTGATTTTTTTTCTAAAATTACCGAGTCGTGAATTTATCTATATGGAACAATTCGTAGGAAAGTAAGAAGATCTTGTAAATTTTCACAGTTTAGATAAAAAGCTGATTAACCGACTTCAACCTCAGCGTTAGTTATCCTTTTTATTTTACTGTGACTTGTAAAGTAATAAAGTTGACGGTATACCCTTAAACAAAATACTAGTATGTGTGTGTATAATTAGTTTGGAAAGCTTAGTTGGAGAAAGATCACAAATATAAAATAAAAAAATTGAGAAGATAAAAATAGAAAGCATTTCAATCAAAATTAGTATTCAAGACTTCAAAGAAATCGTATTAAATTACCATTTGCGATATTAAAATTTATGCTCTTTAATTATTCATCATTTAACGGACAAGAACGAAATTTTATTTAATCCTTAATTACCTGAATACGAATTTTACATTTAATTTGACTAAGCATTTTTATGTTTCGATTATTCTTTAGAGGACAAAAAAATTTTTACCCTTTATATAAAGCAATGCAGATGATAAATCAATAAATATATAGAATAGTAGCAATAATCAACATGAATATAAAATATCTAACCACTAAATACACCATGACCACTTGCGCATAATTTCCTCATTACTTGTGTTTACAAATTCTTAATAAAACATGCCACATATATCCCCATGGACATTTGGATTATAATTTTAACACAGAGGGTAATACCCAGACAATGTAATAACAAAAAGCAGTTCCTTTTTCACATGAAAAATTTCCGCCAATTGTAGATCGCATTCGCCCTAAAAAAAAACCATTTTTTTCTATAATTTTACTTTTTGTAGTCGCCCTGGAGCTTTTATTTTCTAGATATTAATGAGTGACATCAACACCTAAAAGTAAAATTCTGTAGAGAGTAGAAAAAAGGATATATTTAAATAGCTACTCGCTAATGTATGCATATATATACATTTACAAAGTGCATATACATGAAAAAAGCATATTTTGATATACTGCATACAAATCTTCTCATTTTTTGCATTTAATCAAATTAGGAATTTATTTGGCCTTTATGTACACTTACTTCCTGCTTTTTTCTTGTATATATAATAAAAAGATGAACATATATATATTATATTCCTCATTATTTCTAGATATCTATCACTTTACCGAATAAATCTCAAAACTAAATCAGTTTAAAAGAAAATAAATCCGTAAAAAAATAAATTTTAATATAAAGTACAAATAGAATTGAAGGTGAGAGATGCACACTTCAACAAATACGAAGATGGATAGTCTCAGTCTTACTCCTAAGAAAAGAGTGAAAGCTTCAAGTTATTCACCTTCTTCAAGGCTTATGAGACTTCCTTTGGTCTTCTCTACGATGAGAACTTTCTTACCTACATTTAAACTGTCTTGTTTTGTGAGTCATTATTTTACACACATTTAAATGTTTGCTACGATGCAGGTAAAGCTAAATTAGTTAAAAGTGAAAACCAAATTAATGAAGAGATCTAATTACACTGAGCCGATCATGCCGGCTTTTAATTATTGCGCGCCACCCTGAGGAAGATGAGGGAAGTTCAGTGAATGATATTACTCGAGCTTACTTTTTCTTACTACTTCCACCGAGGGTCGCTTTCTTAGGCGTAAAGACGTAGTTCTCAACAAACATTTTGGAAAATAGATAGAAGCAGAAAGCATAAATTACCATTTGCCCACGAGCAAGTGCCATTGTCGCGCCTTCGCACCCAACGCCATTGTTCTCAGATTTATAGATAATGAAAGCGCTTGTCATGTACAGACCGCCAATCATCTGGAGAATCTGGAGAAGGGTGATGTACATGGCAAAGGGCTTCACAAGGTTCTTGTATCCAGCCTCCGCAAGGGCAAAGTAGAAGTACATGATGGTGTGCACCACATAGTTCATAGAGGCGAAGATGACGAGGATGCTGGAACCTTGTTGGTATGCGTACCAGCAGTAGATAAAAATGGTAACATGGTGGAACCACGATAAGAACGGCAGGTTGCGTTTCCCCGTCAGGATCAAGAAGAAGGTGTCCATGAACTCGGGGAATTTCGAGATAGCAAATAATGCCATCGCAAAGCCATACCTGGTTGAGAAGAATTCATCTTCCTCCAGCGTACAAAGGGTATCACGCATGCCGCGTTGTCTGAAGTTCTGAATCAGTAGAGGTGTAATATGAAGCGAGCCATACAGAGAGAATACTGACAGCGTCAGATTCCATACCGCCCAGATTTTCTTTATAACCGCGATGGAGGACTTAGTCTGCGGGACCACCTTCGCGACCAGGTCAGGTCCCTTGAAGACGAAGGCAAGATAAAGAGCGGCGATGTAGATGCAAATATCTGCGTGATGGGTTAACCATTCCTGAAGGTCATGGCCGTCAAAGTACTTGTCTGCGTACTGATCGATGTACTCCATATTTATCTTTTGATATTGTAGATGAGTAATGGTAGATATTGAGGAGTTGCGTATGTTGTAAGAACGAAACAAGTGATATATATTTTTTCGTTTAATTTATTTATATTAAATTATACTAGCGTGAGAAAGAGTTCGATTAAAGCTGAAACAAGTCATTAATAGGGGTTTTCGAGGGAAGAAATAAGGAATGGGAAGAAATGTTATATTAACAGTAAGGAAAGCTTTTTATTTGGAAAATAGGATCATGACGTCATACAAGACAATGGGAAACCTTTTTCTTTTACCGAACTCCACTACCACCCCCCAAAAGGTGAATGAATAAAAGGCTCCTTATTGATAATTACATCCACTCAACTACCCTCTTCCATTATACTATTCCTTTTCATGTACGTGCAGGGATTCGTGGCAATAAGAAATAAACGATCCATTATGGTTAAAAACTTTAACAATTTCCATCCCCAGCGTGTATATATATATATATCTAAAACAAAAATTCTAGAGTTCGACAACCAAACTATACCACACACCTGACTAGTACAATTAACAAGAAAATTGAGTAATAATCTTTAGTAATTGTAGCTGTTTTTTCCCAATAAATTACAAAAATAACGAAACGTCCAGATCCTATCCACAACAAGGTACATTACACTTGTTACTTCATTATAATTCACATATTAAATATTAATTTATTGATACCCTATACCTTAACAGACTTTTACGTACAAAGCGGGTGAAGTCTTCCCGTGGAAACCCACCCTGTACGAAGAGTGACTAGAAGGAGGGGTACAACACACAACCTTCCCCCTCAACAAGGGAACACGGTCCCATATTCTGTTACAAATAGGAGGAAGACAACATTGGATAATTCTGAGTGCTCTAAGTATCGTACATATTTTCTTTACCCAATCAATTAGCCTTGAATTATACCTGAAATAGTGTAACAATTATACTTTTCAGAAACTCAAAATTTTATCCTTTTCAAAAATATTTATCTTTGCTTAGCCAGATAAAGAGTCTTGGTTTATATTGTTGCAAACATTTCTTCAATTGCATCTATATATTTACAACTCCATATAGCTGTGCTAATAATGGCATGAGTAAAGATGCTGCTGTAAAGATATACTACCGGAATTTTTCTTTATATTGAAAAGCACTAAGTTAGATAAGAATTCGAATATATTTGCACTTTTATAAGATTTAACAGGAGAAAGGTTGGATTTCAAATTTATGAGGTTACTCTTATTACGCAAATGAAAAAAATGAGGGAAAACTATCCTAATTGTGATATTTAACTTTCGCTTTCTTTAATATAAAGTTCACTTCGTGAGGAATCTTTAATAAAATACTTAGATATATTTGATTTATATTACTTCACTGATTTTAATCGATTCCCCCCAAAACACAAGGTAGCAACACTTTACAACTTGTTATATATATATGTATATCTCCCTTTAATGAATCATAGCACGATATTATAGTATGAACTTAAAAATATTTGATATTTTCAATTCACATCGCATATACAGATAGGGTGTACAAAGTAGGAGGATAAAAAGTAAATGGAATTCAGTTTTTTTATCTTAGGTTTTCATATAGTGTAATGTTAGCAGCATATGTAAAGCAAAAATAATTGAAAAAAATGTCGATATATTTAAACACATATATATATATATATATATCTAAACATATAAACCATATAAAGATTTGTGTGCTAAAACTTAAAACAAAAACACACCTATTTTCTACCCCTTTACTTATCCCACTAATACTTTCGTATATATATATATTTACTTATTCTTATTGAGTGGAGTTGTTTTAGATCTGGGTTTAGAAAAATAGGACTTAATAAACAGGTTCATAAACATGATAAGATTCACAACCACAATGAACAGATGGAGTCGTAAATCGCTCCATGTCGTACCCGAACACGACCCGGGCCCCTTCGTTGTACCATCCTGGTAGTACGCCTGCAGTTTGTAGGTGAGCAGGAGGAGCGCCAAGATCGTCCCCAAAACCATCTGAAGGATTTGGAGAATGGTGATGTAGACAGCGAAAGGCCGCACCAGGGCCTTCAATCCCGCCTCTGCAAGAGCGAAGTAGAAGTACATGATGGTGTGCACGGTGTAGTTCAGAACGGCGGCGAATTGTAACGCGCTGCTTCCCACTGCATAGGCGTGCCAGGTGAAGAGGAAGGTCGTGACGTGGTGAAACCACTGCTGGAAGGACAGCCCGGGCTTCCCCGAAAGGAGGAGGAGAATGCTGTCGATAAACTCCGGGCCTTTGGAGAGGGCGAAGAGGCCGATCGCCATGCCCGTCCGACCGCGGTAGAAGGTGTCCGCGTCGAGGGTGCATAGGGTGTGGTGGAGGCCACCATCGCGAATGCGGTGCAGGAGCACCGGCGTCACCCGCGTCGTGCCGTAAAGGGAGAATCCCGACAAAAGAAGATTCCACACCGTCCAAATACCCCGTAGCCAGAGAGGCTTGCTCTTCGCATCTATTTTGCCGCTCCAGCTGAGCAGCGCCGCGCCTTTGAAGGTCAGAGTAAGGTACAGACCCGCGACGAACATCGCGACATCCGCATTGTGGATTAGCCAGTCCCGCACCGCGTAGCCATCATAGATGGTCTCCCCATAATGATCCATGTACTCTACTATGCTCATCTTTTCTTCTTTTAGATTTATTGTATAAATTTTTTTTGATATTTATTTAACAAAGATAGATTCCTTTTTTTTAACTTAAAGAATAATATAAATATATTGATAAATATGCTTAGTCACTTTCGACGGAAGTGAGTTAGTAATCATACACTGTCAAATAGTCAGATGCATTTCACTTAGAAGGTAGTTTTGTATCAAAAAAAAGTCTACTATGCGTATCCAAAAATTGCATAGTACCAAGGCTTACAAAAGGGCTTACAGGAAAAGATTACAAACATAAGCTCTTTTATCAACCCTTCGTGACACTTTTCCATTAAAGAAATAACCTTTCACATTGTATGTGCGTCATATTCTCCAAAAAAAACTTGTGATTTGCTTTGTTAAACACTAAGCACTGATTACTTTCCACTTCACTTTCTTTTAAATACTGTAAAGAAAATATAAGGGGTAGTAAACTATGATGAATAAAGAGACAAAGAACCTTGTATAGCATATTGTAGCATGTAATTACTTCACTTTTCGGTCAGCTTAGTGTTTGTCCGTAAGGACTAAATTTTTGAGGGCTTCAAATCACTGCTTAAATCCTAAAACCCTAACACACCACTCCTCCGTTTTATATTAAAAGTTACAATAATAATGTATATATTTGCAACTATTGTATTTCTAAATATATATATCAACATTGCAACGCATAAATAATTGTGTGCATATCAGTTTCATCATTGCTTCTATAGATTAGTGGACTTCTCAGGTACAATGGAAAATTGTTTTGAAGAATCCTGGAGAGCGAAAGCTACACCATGAGTTTCGCTAATCACAATCAAGCCTCATGCTTTATAGAAACAATACTAACAGTGCACCTTATAAATGAATGTATATTTAATATTGTTTATCATTTTAAAATATAGCATGCGCACAAAGGCTTAAAAATATCTTATTCGATACTCTTCTCTTTTCTTTCTCAAAACTAGACCTAATATTTGTTGATTTATTTATTCGTTTGATCCTATTAACGACTTTTCCCCCTTTTGTCGTCTATTGCATGACTTAAAAACAAAAAACAATGAATATCTATGACTTTTCAAGAGCATTTCTTCCCACATGATCCAATATCTTTTATTATTCCTTCTTCTTCTTGATGTAAGACTGCACATACATACTGCAGAACAGGTAAAGATAGCTGATATACATAATACACCCAAAGCGTGCTGTGGATTTGTTGACCGCGCAGGGCAGCTTATCAATATCGTCAATACCCGCCCTGTATGCGGATAAATTTATGCAATAGGAATAAAACGTCAGTGAGGAGCCAATAACCATCTGGAGGATCTGAATCATCGTAATAAACTTTGAGAAGCGTTGAACAAACTTCTTCCCACCCATTGAACAGATAAAGAAGTAGCTGTACATAATGGTGTGCACAAAGATGTTCATGCAGGCGAACATGCTCATCGTCGAATTCCCCATAGAGTAGCTAATCCAGGAAAAGAGCAGCACCGAGGCGTGATGAAACCAGTGCAAAAAGGACGGTGTTTTGCGTTTTTCAAGGATCAACCAGAGCGTATCCACAAGCTCCAATATCTTACTTAGTACGAAGACTCCTGTCCAGAACCCCACCGGCGTGGTATAGGTCAGCTCATCGTGGGTTGAGCAGACGGTGTCTTTGAGATTGTAACGGAAGATTCCCCGCATGAGCCCGGGAACCATTACCATCGCCCCAAATAGTGAAAACACCGCCAGGAACAGGTTCCACAGCGTCATGCACATCTGCAGCCATTGCGGGGGTTTTTGGGGGATTTTCTTCCCCGATGGACTGATCGTGGGGGGGGGAACTTCGCCAAGAACGCGGCGCGCGAGCCCAGGCCCGTAGCGCACCATCCCGAGGTAGGCAAAGATCAGGTAGGCAACAAGGTCCGCCTCCTTGTTCATGAAACGTTGGATCTCACGGCCCTGAACGAGTTCTTCCCAGGGAAACATGATGGATTAACGTTTTTAGTAGATTTTTTTTTATTTTTCGTTATTGTGCTATTTCAATTTACTTCTATTCGTTAACTTGACTTCCGTTCATAAAGTTGCAGATAAAAAAAAAGGAAACTGTGCGAAGGGTCAAAAATTGGAGCATTGAATGTTCATTGATATAAACAGAAACAGCCCTCTTTTCTTACATTATTATGTGTATAATACTTGAGTATAATGAATAATTTTTTTATTAACAATATCTGAGCAAGGTTACTTGTTCCATACATCAATGAGGTTTGCGTAGCAAGGCTTAAGATTATGTTAGTTCAAAATTTTGTGCCCCTATTTTTATTAATACTGTTGTCGTCTTCTTTATTTAAATTGCAAAACCCAAAGAATAAATCCATTTTATAAAGAATTCTACACCAGCAAAAAAAGAATTACGACATCAATTTATAAAAGATTTCTTAAAGTGGATTTCACATCACCATTCTTTCAATATATTTAAAAAGTATTCACCGTTACTGAGTTGATAGATAATACTTTTTGTTCCTTTTAAATGAAAGGTTATACTATCTGTGACCAATGTAACTAAGAATAGTTTTATAAATTTGCATCAAGTTGATTCATCGTAAAAAAAAAAGAACCATTTTAACTCATGTATGTACACGTGATGTCATGCATTTTACGTACACAATAAACTCAACCGCAATAAAATTACAACTCCATTTTGAGAAGAAAGATACTGTTTCGGCGCTCTCTTTAAAGGAAACATGTGTACGAGTAAAGAAAACATCGAATTATAATGGTTAAAATATGATAAAATATCTAAAAAGGGTACCCCCCACACACAGTTCTTTTTCAGTTATAGTGAGCGTGCGGTCTGAATAATAACTCCAAAAGGAATTTAATACGTAATTTCAATCGTTACGTAACATAGAATACTTTTTCATATTTTTTTACTTGTTTTAAAAATATGAAATGGTTATTAAGATACCCTTTCGCTTTTTTCAATCATAAATATTATCATTATATAGCTTAAGATTTTCATTTTTTACCTACTCGTGATTTCCTTAATTTATTACAGATACCATATTGTTTCCTTCGTTATTGAGTTCCGATTCACCCCGTACTAACACTTTACAATAAAAAACGAAAACAAACGGACGGGAGACGGCCGCTATCCCAAAAATAGGAACATATCAGAGATGAGATTAGTGGCCATATCAAAAACGTTCCCCTTCCTACTCCTCTTTTTTTTTAATTCCAGAGCACCCATGGTGATAGCTGCAACTTGGGTGAACCAAACTCTTTAATTGGCACAACATCCTACTACGATCGAATCTACTAAAGGCTTAATCTAATTCAATAATTCACAATATAAGGATAATTTTGAATTAGGAAGAATCCAATGCTGCGCATGGCAAAAATACTGAATTTCAAGGGAATTCAAACTCTTTACATTTATTATTTGTGAAAAAGATCAATAATGGAAGCTTTACAGCCCACTTTGGTCCCAAAGGCAGAAGACCTAGGGCAATAATAGATGATATTTTCCCTATAAATTATGTAATTATATATAATATAATGTAGCAAAAATAGAAGTGTCTAAGTTAAGATTTTCATGTCATCGGAATGGATTGATTTATATAATTTATTCCTTTGACCATCCTTCTTTTCCTAAAAGTAAAAAAAATAAAACAAATACATACTTCATTTTCTGATCCTTTATTTGCGTGTTGTAGTTGGGCTGATTCTAGCATCTTGCTTTTCGTCTCTATTATTTATTATTCTCCCTTTCCTTCGTCTTCGTCATGAGTTTTTCTTATTTTGTATTTCACCTTTCATCTTCCCATTTGAGATGTTCGGCAAAGACTTGTTTTTTTGAGGGGTCTGTGGGCTTTTATGATTCACCTGGTTCTTCAATGAACCTTTCTTTGATACACAGAGGTAATTTTCGTAAAACAATTTCGTGAAAAGGGCGAGGTAGGAGAGGTACATGATCAACCCCAGTTTGCTATTCTGCCGGTTTGCATCACACCTCCTTCTGGAGTAGGTTGCGAGGTAATAGCTGGCAGCTTCGATGACGGCGCCGAGTACCATCTGAAGGATCTGCAGGAATGTAATGAAGGGTGCGATCGGCCGGATGTACGCCCGCAACCCACACGAGCAGAGGAAGTAGTAAAGATACATCACGCTATGCACGGCGTAGTTCATCACAGCAAAGATGAGCCCGCTGCTAATAGTCATGGTGTAGGCATGCCAGCCGTAGAGCATCACAGTCACGTGGTGGTACCAGTGCAAGAAGCTCACCGGCTTCTTCTGTGCCACGAGGAAGACGGTGTCGAACGTCTCAAAGGGCTTGCTGAGGATGAAGGCCAGAACGAAGAAGCCCACAGAGCCATTGAAGAAGTTCTCCTCCTTCCAGACACAGATGGCGGGGTAAAAGGCCTCAAGAAGGCGCGTGGGGAGGCCGACGTCGCGGGTCCCGGGCGCGAAAAAGGCCTCACTGAGCATCTCCCACAGGCGAATCCCCGTGTGAAAGACCCCAATAAGGGAGAACCCCGTCAGAAGCAGATTCCACGCCCGGTTGAGATGGATCAGGTTGAACGGCCTACGGTGCCGCATCACGTTGTCAGGGACGTAGAGGACGACGACCATGTAGAGAATGGTCACCAGCACAGGAACCTCCAGATGATCCAACATCCATACTTTGCAGCCTTCCCCTTTAAAACCACTTAGCCATTTGTTGTAATTGTAGAGAAAGTGAGTGAGAAGGGCCCCCATGTTCGGATTTCGAATTTCGATCACTTTTTATCTTTCCTCTACTTCTGCTTGTTAGGCTTAGATACTCTATTAATATTTATGTAGAGTTTTAAAACGATATACGAGAAAGAAATCACGTTTAACGTGTTATTAACTAAAAAATATATTTACGCCCTTAAAAGAGAATTTATATAGTTTAAACACGCAAACAGAATAGTTCAAAAAATAAAAAAGGGCTTTCTGCGCAGGAATATTTTTTGGGGGGAAAGGAAGAGAAAGAGACAAGGTATGAATTAAAA